CACAAACTACTAAACTACTAAATTACGGGAAGGAACAATTTAAAATTACTACTTTTCTTTTTATAAATCCTGAAACGAATGAATAGAATCCGGAATGGATTGGAATAATCTAAATGTATGTGGATAAATCATATAAATCCGTCCAGGTAATAACAACTTTTTGTTATTAATGTAAAAATAAAATATAAAGTAAAATTATTACTACACAGTAATACAAAAGTATTATGTAATCAGCCTAAATTTAAAGAGAGAGAGATCGAAGATTAAGATCAAAGATTAAGTGGGATCAAAGATTAAGAGGATTCGATGATGATATCCATTTTTTGATTTTATCTGGAAATTTCCTACATTCTCTATATAAGTACGATAACCATCGTCATATAACGAAGTTAATGCCAAAATTTTTTTGACAAATAAGATTTGAAAATTTTTCTCAACTAATAAAGTTTTAATTCATTTAGACAAATTTCATTAAATGATAAAATCAATCCATATCTATCATTAAATTAAACAGATTTAAACGTCTTAATTGAACCCTTTTTTTTTCAAAAATTTTTTTTATGTGCTTAAAAAATTGTGAAAGGACAAGTTTTCTTCCTTTTTTTTTTCTTTTTTAGCAATTATAACTTTTTTTTAATGTGATCTTTTGTAACGATGATATATTGATTAATTTAAAAAAGATCAAATGCTTGAAATTATTGGTGTTTGAAAGGTGTGATGATATTTGAGCTTTCTTTTTGTTTAAATGTCACATCAGTTTGCTGAATAAAGAACATTGATGTGACATTTAAAAAAAAATGAAATGAGCAAAAGATTAAAGATGAATTACTAACCAGCTTGTTGTACTGTATCATTACGTAAACTGTTACGTAAACGTCCTGCAATCATCGTACATAAATTCTAGATATACATTTCGATATTTCAATAATTCTGTTCATTCAAATCAGTAATTTCAATAATGCAACTTCATAATTAACTCTTTCATCATTTATTCATTAATTGAGCTGAAAAAAAAAAATGATTGATTTGATTGAAGAAAATCTTACTGTAATATCGGATTTTGTAATATTACGCATTTTGATTGGCTATTCATAATTAAATGAAGCGATCAATTGCTATGATAAATTGGTAGAATGATTTCAAGATGAAGTTTCTTTTTTGATTGATCGATGAATTGCCCCAATTACTTTGATCATTAGAATGATTGAAGGTAATGTAATGTTTTAAAATAAAATATGATTGTTGTAAAGTACTAAAGTTCAAAAGTTAAAATAAAAAATTTGTTCTTTGAGAGATTAAAGTTAATTAAAGAGTTTATTGGAGAATCTTTATAAGCGAAAGTAGCTCAAAAATCAGAATAACATGTATTTGTAGTATATTTGTTTTGAAGAAAGATGACAGATGACAAACTAAGACTGCAAATTTTAAACCACTTTTGGTTGATATAAAAACGCGTCACAACAAACGAATAGACATTATGCTAAACAGTGTCAAACACACAATGACATAAACATGAAGAAATGCGTCAAACATCACGACATTATTTATGTCAATTGTTTTGAATTCTGACTAACTTCCATAGTTTTAGCTAATGAACAATAGATGTCAACTAGTCTAGGTTATTCTTGTCATCTGGTCTAAGTTATTTTTATCAATTATGTAAATTATTCAGGCAGAGCCAAAAGACTTAAAGATTTCACAGTTTACTAATTAAGACATAATTATACATATAAATACGTCTTCTTAAAATATTATTATTCAAAAAAAAAAGAAAAAAGAAATTGATATGATGATGAAAGGCTTAGGTTTAGTTCACTACGCTAAAGGCCTCTTCTACCTCTCTCTCTCTCTCTTTGATCTTCAAGGAATGGAAATTAGATAGGTGACAAGGAGACAAAAAATCAAGCCAAGAGTCCATGCTAGTTCTTTTTTTTTTTGTGTGTGTGGTAAAAGGGTGCCATATTGGTGAGATTGAGACCATTAAATTAGCTGTCATAGCAAACATTTGGATGACAGTTTGAGTCAATGAATTAATGAGTAATGCAGTGTTTCTCACTCCTAGCTAAAATGTCATCTTTCCAACTTTTTTTTTGTCGCCATAAGCTTAAGATTAGCTATCCTGTGGTAGTTTAATACTTATAATCATTATGAGTGACTTTTCAGAATCTCCGCAAAATTTCGAAAAGACTTGTAGCTACATGAGAATTGATAAGAAGTTGATTGTATAATGATGACAAATGACGGGACATATTTTCCGGTAGCTACCAATGAAACGGAAAAAATTACAATTTAAGTAATTTAACCGGTTCATACTCAACCATATGGATAATATAGTAACATTATTGTTTTGTGGACAATTGATTAGGCATGATCATTTTTCCATTACTAAGAATGTGAACTGGCAAACATGTTATGAGAATGAATCCAACCTGGATAATATTTGTCAGTAACAAAATGTACAGCTAAATTTAATGTCTCCAAAAGTCTAAAATGATATCTCTTCTTCTATTCTTTCAATCTAAACTATACACTAACTAACTAGCATTGCAGACCTTTTTTTCATTCCTTATCAGAATATTCGAAAAACAAGCAGATTAATGATTTTTTATTTAGGACTAATTGACTCAAATGAAAGGTTGAAAGGTCAATAATTGGAAGGTTACTTCCACAAAATGACCTTTAAAAAAGAATACCAATGAAATGCTTTTGATTTTGAAAGTCATTTAAAAGATTTTTAGATATTTCTAACTTTTCAACAGGCCTTTTTCTCCTCATATCATCTATATCTTCCATATTCGTTATTTAGCAATTGATGAATGCTTTTTTGACAAGCTATTAAGAAGGATGGCATCTTTTCTTTGAGAATTTACTTTTCGTTGAAACGATTCTGAAAAAGCTACTTCAAATCAGAATTTTTCTTTTCCTTTTCCATTTATTGGATTCGTTTAGTTTTTCTTGAAAAAAATTTGATAATTTAAAAGTTGAAAAGTTTCAGGAATACTTGTTGGGATCATGTTTTTCCACTTCATATGTCATTTAATGTGGTCAATTTTTTTTTTATTAAAAATCATGAATTAAAAAGTAGCAAGTTTCTTTTAAATAAAAAATGAAAGTTTTTTGAATATCATTTTTTTTCCGAAAATTTCAAAATATTTTGCTTTTATAATAAAAACATTGCAAATAAAGCATCAAATTATTGGCGACTAATTATAATCTAAAAATTTTTTTCCTCATTGAAAAAATTTCAATTTTTGCACTAACTAGAAATTTCCAAATTATTATTTAAGAAAAGGAAAGGAAAGTACAAAGAACAAAATTAAT